TGATATTTATTATGTATTTATTGTCAAAGCATTTAATATATTCATTGTTATCGGGATGTTAAGAGCATTCCATGGAATATAACAAAAAGTGTATCTGAAATAAATGACATTTGACTGTTATATGCAATCAACAGTCTGTTTTACATTATCATACATTGTTCAAGTTAATCATTTATCAGTATTTTTATCACAAAAGCATTGTCGTTTTTGGTCATAAGGCAAAACAAACCCCCTATTGTTTTTAAATAGAAGCCACAGTTAAGCTTCTAATCAACATTTTGGTATCAACATAAACTTATAAAATGCTAAAAACCCATTCAACTCTGTCAGATTTTAAATAAAGCAGAATGATGTGTGCCAAAACAATCTATGGCTCTTTGTTGGGTGAAGTTAACAGATCAATAATGGTTTGACAGCAAAGATCCTTGGAAGATGGGACATTTAAAGCAGTGACATCTTTAAAGAAGTGGAGGAGAGTTTTTGTGGATGTAGCGTTGTGTACCTGGCTGTGGTTGGACAGCTTCATCAGCTGGTTCATGAAGGCTGTGGGCTGCGAGGTCTGAGAGTCACTGATCTGCTTCATCTTCAGGAAGCGCTCTGTGCCCAACACAACGAAACGTTAGGATGAAATGATGGCAGGATGCTCAGCTGCTCAGAGAACTCTTCAGCTGGAAGAGTTCCACCCTGAGCCTCTGAACATCCTGAAAAAACATAAAACTCCCAACTGAGCATGTCTGTGACCCCGCCTCTTCATTTGTACAGTATTATCTCATCACTCAATCTAGTGCAGTGTTTCTCAAACTTGTTCATACCAAGGACCACTTGACCAATAAAAAAACACTCGCGGACCACCTAACTCCACAAATATCCAAAAACACATCGTTTTTTACAAATCGCCTGAAAATGGTACAAACAAGTGGCAACATGTGTGATGAAGGTGCTTATCTGGGCTAGATCATGCAATCGGAAGTGAAACTTAAGCTCGCTTGCTGTTATGGGCAGACTTTTTAAACATTTAATTACAAGGGTTCTAGCCATTGAGTTAGGTAAACACTTAAAAACAGTTTTGACATGTTACTATTGCATTTGTACATGTGGTCAAAAGTCAAAGTAGTCCAAACTGCTTTAGAAATATCTGAAATGTCATAAAAGATATCAGAAATTCCTTCTTAGAAAGGAAAAAGGTTCAGTCTAAATGTAATGGATAGGTTTCAGATATCAATCACAGCATTTCCAATATGTAGCCCACGTGACCCATTCATTTCAAATATGTAAGTCATAGATGATTTGTACAATTTTGACAAGATAATAAATCTCCTTTTTGATATTTCAAATTCAATTTTGACTAAAAAAAGGAATTGTAGATTTATTGAGATACTTTATATGTTTGCTAGTTACAATCGTATTCTAGATATATGGCCTAACTGTTTAAATTATTACTGGTGACAAATTCAAGCTGACATATCAGTTAAACATTTATTTATGATATATGCAATGAGGGATGAATTCTACAATGAAAACTGCAAATAATAACAGTGGAATTGTTGATATCACAAATTACCATTTCCACTAGTGAGAATTGCATTTTTGATATCATTTTTCTAGCTACAAGTCATAATATATTATGGACATGATTTGGAACTACAACATCTTCAAAAAATTGAATTACTGTACTTGAGCATTACATAGTTGTCATTGAATCTTCCATCAGATATACAAAATAAACATTTCAACTGGCAGAAAATATGTTGGTCAAATCAAGAATGAACATGTTTACAAGTATGAAATAATTGTTAACTATGTTAACTAGAATCGCTACTATTTGGAAAATATGAATATATTGACTTCTTGGAATTCTAACTACTCAAAAAGCAATTTTGATATCTACAATTGCTGTTGGTATAATGATTTGAAAACGTCTGCCATTGTGTTACAGAAGGATTATAAAAAAGCAAACATGTCACATAAAAGGCGTCAAGTCAGCTGACTACACCTGTTTCTTTAAGTGCTGAGCAATAACTGAAGGGGTGTCTACTACTAGAGGACGAAGATTAAGAGACTTCATTTAAAAAGTGAGGGGGAGAACGTGTTAAGGAGACTTTAGCGCATAATACATTTTAGAGTTGAGTGTGAGAGTTACAGTTAAGATAGCAAAGAAGTCTTTCAGAAGATTCATTGTATTCTTTTTGTCATTGTTTTACTTTTGAAACACGGACTGGAATACATAAAATATTAAACAACTGAACAAATGAAATGTTTTTGAGTTTGGTCAACACTCCCTGTGAGTTTGGTCAACACTCCTGTGGGAATAAGGTTGCATTTTGGGTAGTGGTGTCAGTATTTCTGAAATCCTGTTTCTGATACGCAACGAGTCAGCTGTTCTGCATGGGTACAGTAGTCCATACTGTTTGCATGCCTTGTCTTTAAGGTTCGCAGGAAAAACATGTATTTACTGCTGTAACAACGTGGAGATGCTGATTTAAGCAAAGTAGGCCTACATGTTTTAGCTCTTATGCTGCAGGGTTTGTCTAATCAATCACCTTATACAGGCTCCACATATAGTGATTACCTTTAAGTCAATATTCACCATTACTAACATTAATATAATAAATTAGAAGCCAAATCCTGATCTGTTCTGGTGTGTCTCCGCTCACCTCTGCTGCTCCGGCAGATGAATGGCAGTGGATCAGAGCAGTCTGTCAGGCCGAGGAGGGGGGGCTGATCTGAGCCGCCCTGCAGGGTCCTGCAGCCCTGCAGCTCCATCTGCTGGTGGACTGTGGCACAGTGACACACATTACATTACATATCATTTATCACTTTTATCCAAAGCAACTTACAATGAGTGCAAAAACCATAAAGAATCAAACTCCGAACAACAAGTGTGCGCACAAGAACACAAGAGTCAGCTCTATTATATGTTAATGTCATCAATGGTGAAAAGTATCAACAATGAGATCAAATAAAATAATGAGATAACAATTAGATTTGAACTTTAAAAACAACTTTAGGCTTGAGTTGTAATCGTACAAAAAAAAACCTGCCTGCATGGATCTTAAGAGAGTAATATAAACTGTGACAGTGGGGGGGTTATTGTTCACTCCTGCACGGAACTCTTTCCCTGCACTGCCCCTCACTGCTGGAGCTGTGGGAGTCCCCCCATTCAGCGCCTCTCTGCCCCTCTGACTCACCTCACTGCCCTTCACCCTGCGGCACATTCTAACACTCTCTAGCCCAGGCCTCTTTAGGGAGGATTTGATCAAGAATGACTTGAAAAGTAAGAGACAGGCAAATAATAAGAACTAGATAAGAAATGATATGAAGGCCGCCGGATAGCTCAGTGGTTAGAGTTCACATCCCATATATGGTCACTGCTGCTAGTAAGCCGGATCGAACCTTGAGCCAGCTGAATATCTCATGGAATGTCCTTCCATCCGTCTCCTTTTCAACAGAACTCCAATAAAGGCCCTCTGGCCCAAAATTACCTTTATATAAAAAAAGAAATGCTATGAACATGTACTGCTGCAAGAATAAATAACTATATATAATTAAAGCAATATTACAACATAATACACACATTTTGATATTAGAGAGGACATATTATGTTCATGTTCAGGTATATATCAGTATCTAGTGTCTCTACTGGGACATGTCTCCATGCTTTAATGTTCAAAAAGCTCTTTATTTTTGCAGCACCTCTTTTCACCCTCTGTCTGAAACCAGAGCCCAGTCTGCTCTGATTGGTTAGCTGGCCGGCTCTGTTGTGATTGGTCAACCACTGAGAGATGTCCCGCCCCTTAGCCTTTTCACGTACAATGTGTTGGAGAGTTATTGATCATTAAAGTGTTCTCAAAGCTGGTAAAGGTTTGAATGACTTTGTATATTGCAGGGTAGCTTGTTGATTTACTCCAGGTGGAACTAAAGTCTGATTCAACACTTGATTATATTTCACATCATTCATCTGTAAAGTAACTAAAGGGATTAAATACATGTAGTGGACTAAAAAGAAAATACACCATGTACCTTTGAACTGTAGTGTGGTAGAAGTACAAAGTAGCATGAAATGGAAATACTCAAGCAAAGTACCTTATAATTATACTTAAGTAAAGTACTTGAGTAAATGTACTTAGTTACATTACACCACTGAGTAAGGTTAACCCAGTGCCTCGTTTCCAAATGAGGCAACGTTCAGACCAACATAAGTGCTAGAATAGGTTTCCTCATTCTTCAGAATGACACAGCCTGGCTTTAAAAGCAATGTTTTGGCAACAAACAAGTTGAACATGGCTCAACCTTAAGCATGTGCAGTGGCGACTGGTCATTAGGGGCAGCCCCACCTAGTGTCAGCAGAAAGTATTACAAATAATGATTACAAAAAAATGCAAAAAATAAATTAAAAAATATATAAAATATATTTTAAGATCATGTTTAATCATCTGATTCGTCTCATTGCTGTTTTAGTCTGTGTTCTTCTAATTAGTGTCTACAGTGTGTGCCTATTGAGCTGTTTAGAGCCATGTGGGACAAAACCCGCACGAGGACGAAAACGGCTAAACGCATAGGATTAACGCAAACGCAATCGCAAAAAAGCTTCCGTCCACACGCAATAGTTATCCGGATAGTGTCTGTCCACACGAGACCGCTCCATTTAGCTCCAACAGCTGGAGAAGCTGCAGTACATAGGCAGGAGCCTGTACGTGGCGCTGTAACTTCCTCCACAAAAGCAGCGAAGAAGCATGGTTGTCATGGTTGCCCTTCTGTTTATTCTCCGCGGTGGGGGCCGAGGGAACCGGGCAGAGTTTTTCGCCAGTCAACGTGTATTAAAGTTTAAATCTTCCGACAAAATTATAAAAGTGCCGGTCAAAGGTCTTCTTTGTTATTTATTGAGCTTTAAAACAAATGAATAACGACTCTATATAATATAATAATAAAAATACACGGAGCCTCTCTTTTTCCTCCCTCTCTTTGGACAGCGTCAGTGTCTGTCTCATGCAGCAGCTGATCCAGTAATGAGTGACCCGGCCGACAGTAAAAATAAACATATTTATAACTAGTTTAGGTAGTTTGAGAGGTGTCTCCGTCCTGTCAGATTAGACTTCACTCACGTGTATGTCCATATCGAGAGAAAGATAAATAATCTGAATTCAGTGTGCAGTTTACTTTGACGCGGGGGAGAGGTGGGGCTATTGCCTCATCATTATCAGAAAATGATCATATAGGGCGTACACACGGAGCCGTTGGACCCCCCCAGAGCGTTGCGTTCTATCCACCTTGGGACCCGTTATCGTTTCCGCAGTCGTTTAGTGCCGTATTCGGTCGTCCTCGTGTGGCCGAACGGTCTATATGACACTAAACAGTAACGCAAACGACCGTTTTCGTCCTCGTGTGGCCCGGGGCCTAAGTCAATGGTGACTGTAAAAACTACACTGCGCATGCTCAGAGTATTTTCCTATTTAATGTGTGTGGCAAAAAAATATTGACCATAGGGGCATAGAGCTACCATCCCCACCATACGTCATCTCACATCATTCAGAGCTGATTGACTGTAAGTACGTGTGCCGCGAAAAGTGTGGTGTGTGAAGAGGAGGAGAGAGACGCGTCCTAAAACCCGGAAGTAAGCTGCGCATGGCTTCCCTTCACAAAAAAGCAATGAGATTTCTCCATAGGATTTTAGAAAATAGCTCAAAATAAGATCTGTGGGAAACGTAGCTGTTAGATAAATGCACGTTTTGTTCAGCCGGATAATATCCACATGTCTACCCTACTTTTATCATTTTCGAATCATATATTCATCATTTAGATTTATGATAGACTTTTGAAACTACAAGAACATAAGGAGGACTTTTACAAAAAAGTAATAGAGATTTTTGTCCAGAAGGATAGGCAAATGGACTTCATCTTCAAGTCAAGGTAAGACTGCAATTGTATTGAAAATGGGATCTTACTAAGAGAGAACAATTCAATATTTAAATGATAAAATTACATTTTTTTGGGTATCCTTCTGTTGAACTGTATACAAATAAAATATTATATTTTGATTTAGGTCAACATATAATATTTGTAAACCTGAAGAGTCAGTGCCAGTGCCTCACCAGCCATGAACCTCACTGCAGAAGCTTATAGACATCTAAGTTTTTTGTGCCCCAGCACTTTTGTACATATAAAAACGCCACTGAGCATGTGCTACATTAAACACATCCCCACAATCGATTAGAATAAAAGGATGATTTTACCTCATACATAGGTGTTTTTATTTTCATGTTTCCTTACAGAATTATCTGTTAAAAGTGTTAGACTGAGCATAAAAACTTCAGGATGTAGGCCAATCCCAAACCCAAAGATGAGCAACTCATAACTTGCAGTATAAACACAAAGTGTTGACGGCTAGCAAGATAGCCTGTTCCTAAATAGTTTCACTCAGTAAGCTTTAGGCTGGTATTTCTGCGGTCTCTACAGGAATGATTGGTAAAGAAAATCACCTTCCTTTAATATCTTGAAGGACTGCTGTAGGAGATTGATTGAAAGGACCACTGGTTGAACTGGTTGACAAAACAAAGCAGATAACCAAGCCACATGGTTGTGGAGGAAGAGAGGATGATAGTTGTTATCTGCATTGTTTTAGTATCACCCAGCCACTAACCCAGCGGATGGGCTGCACTAAAACTACCCATGTTCGTGTAAATAACGCAATAATGTAAAAGGCACCAACCAGCATGATCAAACCACTGTGGAGGTAGGTTATATGAACTATCCCAGCAATTCTTAGTGTGCATGATGACATTCTAATTGAATAGAGACAGCCTCTGAAATGAAACTGAGCATACAGAATGTGATCTCACCTGGGCAAAACAGAAGGGCCTGTACCTCGCTCACCACTGGGTGGCTGCTTACGTGCTCAAGATTCCAACTAAAAAGCTGTTCCTGGGTTTTGGAGGAACATGCGTTGAGGGCACGGACATGCCTTGCTTCCAGAGACATATTCCAAACATTCAGGTCAGTGATATTTCCAAAAAAAGGCTCTGTGAAATTCCCACCAAATGAATCTTGATCCTGACCCAGAATAAGTATTCCATCACCATAGATGTTCCTGGAGGTGTCTGAGCCTGAGCCCATGTCCTTCTTGTCCCCATCTACATAGATAGCCCAGTGGCCGTTGCTAAGGCGCCATGTGACACAGATGTGATGCCAATCTCCGTCGTTGGGGAAGGATGCCTTATATGGCAGGTGCTTCCCGTGGATGATGAGAGCCAGAAGGATGCGTCCCTGCATGTCCACTTGGCCTCTCAGCTGGAACTCATTGGTGAACACAGGTGCAGCGTAGGAGAAGATGGTGGACACCTCATTCCACTCTGGGTTCCACTGAACACGAACACACACACTGATGGAGGACAGGGCGGGAAAGGACATGTTGACACGAGCAAAGCCCTCACGAGAATCTCTTGGGAAGTTTAGAGCTGGGAACTGTAAATCTAAAGAAAAGCCGGGTAAGGTAATTGATCAAATTGTACCTTTATTTTTTGTATTTTATTATACTTTATTTGATTTGTAGCGCCAATGATTACACTCACACTGTTTGGAGAGGGCCAGAGGCTTGGAGGCTGCTTTGGCAGGATCTCTGACCCAGACAGGCGTGCGATGTGCGGCCTGCTGAAGCAGCTCCAAGACCCCCCCTCTGTCCTCTGACTGCTCCGCAGGCACAAGGGAGCTGAACTGGCCCCTGCAGAATCTGTCTGCCCCCGAGAAGTCCAGTGATTCATTGACCAGGTGGAAAGCCCAGTTAGAAGTTAGGTGGAGCAGTTTGGATTGTTCTGTAAGGTCACACAAAAAAAACAATCACGACAAGCATGAATTAGAAATAGTGATGTTTCAGTCAAATAAGTGTTGATTTTTTGATGAAGGAAAAAGAGAAGTCAATACCACAAAATAAAACTGCTGCCCACTAAATAGCCCCGAAAAGTGATTAACAGTCTCACCGTTTAAATCCCCAGCTCTGTCTGGCCCAGCATGTGTCGGCTCACTCTCACATGCCACCTGCAGGAGAACATGTTTAGTTTACTATAGTATTTTAACTTGGCTAAATACAGTTAAGCAATGCTGTATTAACATATTCCAGTAACATATTCAGTTGATGTACTGACTAGCTTTTTTTTTTAAACAATGAAATGTTAATAACACGTTAAAAATGTACTATTTGCAAGTCTCTGGTGTACATAGTATAACATTGTAATTACCACAAAAGAGAAAAGCATGAGTCCAGTGTGCAGAGCTCCAGTCATCTCTAAGCCAGTGTAGTCTCCAGCTAAAATAAACTGCTGAACTTATTTAAAAAATATATTTCCACTCGATCCAGATGTACGAAAAAACAAGTTATTTTCCTGAAACATTGATGCACTCTCCCCATTTTCCTCTGAAGCAGCAGAGCATCTCTTTGAATCTGTGAACAGACTCCATGTTCAAACCCAATTCTGGTCCTGACTCCTCATCCACCGCCTTGGCTTCAATATCCAGCATATCCAGCACAGTTCTGGTCTCCTGACTGGGAGAGTGCCAGCAATCCCAGTGCGTCTGTCCAAGTCTCAGTCTGTCTCCTGCCTTCCTTCAGACCCCCAACCCCTCCCTCCCTCTTTAGTACCCTGAAGCCATCTGCCTTTGTCATGCAAATTTTTAAAAGAACCCTACTTACGCAAGCAGTGTCAAGCATTTGGCACAGAGAGTTCATCAAGGGCGGCAGGGCGGCAGACACTTTTACCACATTCTCCTTCTTTATGTCTTCTATAGGACTCTCTTAAGTTAATTATAACATCTGTTTTGTTGGTGTCCTTCATAGTCAACTAGAGAATGCAATTCCTGAAGAAATTGCTAGTGGGAATGCTTTATGCTGAAAAGCTGACGCTAAACTGCTATGCTGGAATGTAATGTGTAAGAAGAAAGTGAAGAATTTAGATTGAAATGAAACATGAACACTGGGGGCTTGAATGTGTGATGAGAGAAGAAAAGAAAGTAAAAAGGCTTGGAAAAGCAGCAGAATATTTGAACTGCAAACTTCTGAACTAACTTGATGGTGAATTATCTGTCATCATGGCAACGGCATTTCACCCCACAATACGCTTAGATGCGTTGATGGCTGCATCGTTACCAAACCTGTGAAGTTTTGGGCCATTTTTGAGCATTGTGTTGCCAAGGCAACGATATTTGAATACATCTTAAAACTGTCAAATAGATGTCTTCACAGCTGGACTTAGCTAGCACACATGTGAAGTTTGAGCACTTTTTGACAATTTTCATAGGAGTTATAGCAATATCGTGTTTTACGGCGAGGGATGTGTTGCCATGGCAACAGCTTTTGAGGAAAACTCACTAATGGCACATAGACATGTTGAAGGCTGGACCATTAACCATTATCTGAATTTTTTTTAATCTTTCAAGCTACGAGATGTTTTCCTACGTTTGTCATGATAAATGATGTCTCAGGAATGTAGGGTTTTGGCACATTTCAAGATTTCTTACCCTCTAGCTGTGACATCACGCACTCTAGTTAATGTTAAAATCTGAAGAAAACCTCTAAAACAAGGTCTGAACAATGTTTAATATCTCTAGAAGTAAGAATCAGATTTAAAAGTTGTTTAACACGAATAATGTCAGAAAGATGTGAAACATTTTAAAGTTGGAATGAGGTTTCTGAGTGAAAGTATGAAGGAGCAGTTAGCAGTTGTTGCATGAAGATTGTTGAAGTCTGAAGAGTTTCTCCATTGACTTCCATGTTAAAAATGTGATGAATTATGGGATGTATCTCTGGAATTATGAGAGTTATGAATGAGAAAAGTAATAGCCATCGATTCCCGACCGAGCTGAACGTTTTGATGTTTGAACAACACACTCTCACTCCCTAAGCGTCCAGGAGCGACGTTTGGTCAGTGTCCGTGGCGTCCAGTTGTGACGCTCCTAGGCTCCTTCAGCTTCATAAAGGGACGCAAATAGCTTTCAACTGATTGCAATGTATTCCCATCTGCGGCGGGATTTGACGCTCATGGAAGCACGGCATTCGTTTGTGTCGGCTGCCCTTAAAGGCAATGTGAGCGTCCATTCCCATTGGATAACGGAGAATTGTACACCCGGAAGTAAGTATTCCTCTTACTGTCGATTGATTTGACAGTGATATCTGCACTACTCATCGACTAGAAAACACCAGATTATCCTTGTTAATTACACAACATTGATTGGTTTAAATTGTGTGCAATGCTTTTGTATTTTTCCCCTTCGATTCGGAGAAACAAATATTTTTAAGTAAAGGATGGCAGAAGACACTACACTACCCAGAATCCCCAGCTATCATTTTTTTTCACCATTCATTCCAATGGCTGGCGTCCAGAGTTGGGTGTAACGCGTTACTGTAATAATATTACTTTTGTCGGTAACGGAGTAGTGTAACGCGTTACTTTTATAATTCAGTAATCACACTACAGTTACTAACATTGCCCCGACACGCGTTACTTCGTTACTTTTATAAAATAATCACACTCACTGACAGACTAGAGGGGTTTCCGCCGCAGGTTTATATACATGTAGGCCTATGTAATCTGCGCGACTTGCGAGACCACATCTCCACGTGCAGTGCTGCATAAACATGGGTGAGTCTTTTCATCTGTAAACTCCCTCAACGGGGCCGCTCGCTCTCTTTTGTTGATCGCCCTCTCACGGGTGAACAGTTCAATGTCCCGCTTCATTGTAGGAATTCTGCCATGTCTCTACCACTTTAGTTTGACCATCTCTGTTACTAAGTTATGGAATACTAAATACATAAGTAATTAGATACCTTACCGTTACTGCGCTCATAAAGAATGATAAGAATAATGCGTCTTGAACTGGTTTCATTCATTAGTGTCTTGACGTTTCACAGACTGTTAGCTTTGTTGTGGTAGGCTGGTAGCCTATTTTAGAGCATATAAAAAGAAAGACTTGTGTTATGTCTTCCTTAATGCAATAGTAATTAGGGGTGCAAGTGGAGTCTCGCAGAGGCAAAACTGTGGCGCGCACACTGTAGGTGCGCCGCAGTCTGCGTGATCTGCCTGTAGGGAGGGGCGGGCCGGCCCTGCGAGTAAAGTAACGAGTAAAGTAACGAGTAAAGTAACGAGTTACTTTATGTAGAGAGTAACGAAGTAGTGTAATATATTACTTTTTTTTTAAAGTAATATGTAATATGTAATATATTACTTTTTTTTAGTAACGACCCCATCTCTGCTGGCGTCTATGTCACGTGATCTTCACATTTCTCCCTGCAGAAAAAGAAAACATGGCCGAACTTCGTTTTATTCTCGGTGGAAAAAGCTCTGTGATTGGAGAGTGTGCGCCGAGGGTTACGCCGAGCGTCGAACAGCACTTGAAATGGGATGGAACCACGGCAGACTGTCCAAAACTGGATTTGAACGGGTCCACCGCATCCCCCCCTCCCCCACCCTGTCCCCAGTACTACACATGCTGGCTATTGTGTTTCGCAACATGTTCTCTATCTATGACACGTCTCTGCTGGAAATTGTAGTTTTAAAAGACGTTTTCGTATTTCCCATAATAAGAAGTTGCCAGCATTAAACTGTGTACATCCCTGGAGGTTTAGGGGATAGGAAATACTCAAATTTAAAACATATAATTAATAAATGGGTGAAAATGGCTTGTGCCCATAATGGGCAGCATTAATATATATACCCACATGCCAGCTAAGGTCAGAAGAGCTTTGTTTAACAGCTGGTCTTATGTTTGTGACCCCTCCTGTTGTTCATTGATAAGCCTGAAACATGCACTTGTCAAGGTTCAGAGGCACATATGGCATAGCCATCGATCATCTTACATTACATTAATTGATAAGCCTGAAACATGCACTTGTCAAGGTTCAGAGGCACATTTTGCAAATATGGCAGTTAGCCATCGATCAGCTTAAGATAAGCATGTGTAACAGTTGTAAATATGCAGTGGTGTTTATTTGTAAATCATTTAGTATAATCACACAAATTCTGTGTTTTATATTTAACAATTCTGTGTTCTTTATTTATTGATTGTTCAATACCTGACAAGGTCGGAGATGAAAAACTTGGGTCACAGGTTCCTCAACAGTGCATTACAAGACATCTATCAATATGTGTGTATACCTCCACCATTAAACTGTCATATTCTGCACATTTCTTATTCTATCTACATACATCTTATAAGAGTATAATACATATGTATAATATCAGTTAAAATAAGTGCTTAAACATACAGTATTTAACATTGCAGGAAAGCAATATATTAGTACTTTGTCAGGCTTAATATTTATACTCCCAAAGCTTTTTTCTTATTCAAAATAAGACCTTAACCTAAAGTATTCTTTAATGTTTAAATAAAGCCGTATTAGTTATTAATATCTAATAATACAAATAATACATTTCAATAATGTGCTTTAACCACCAGGTGTCACCAGCTGTGCACCGTTATGGTGTACATATACCAATATACCGATTGGATCAAATATAAAAGTCAGCCAAATTAGTGTTGATACTGCAAGGAGACTTATATTGTGAAAATAAATTGAAGATTTTGTTTAATTACTGATATATTTATGAACCACGTCACATATTCAGTTTCGGCGCCAGTTATTCCTGTTTGTCTAGAAGTCTTCTCATAAATAGCAAACTACGGCAGATATGTAATATTGAATGCAGCCGAACCGTGTATTACAATGCCGTTATGTGATGACCTCCAAAGAGAAAAGCAAGCAAACTCGGAATAAAGTATTATTTTATTTTTAAAAAATGTTTTCGGATTTCACATCAACAGGAAGTCCGGTTAACTAAAATGTCCGTCCGGAACAATACCCCAACCCATAGATCCGTGGGTGAATAATGTCAATCACCACATTACACACATCCCTTCACATTTACATTTTTATGTACATTAAAGTATTTTGTGAGGCCTTCTAAAATGTTTTAAAATATAATTAGGGTTGTAGTTGAAGAGTTTGTAAATTATTGCGTTGCGTGGCTGGGGCAACAAGAAAATCGGCGAAATAGAGTGTGACAATTAAAAAATAAATAATTACTATATTAATATTGACAATAACAACCGACCGTCGGGGAGCGTTCTCATGGCGTCTATTATCAACGCTATGGGAGGTCTATGAAGGTCTATGGGACGCCCTGCCAGTTGAAAACTGACTCTCAAGGGGTAACCTGTCCGTAATAGAGTGACGGGGAGGGGCCCTGACCGACCGTCAACATGTGACGGGTTGGGAGTGAGAACGTGTTGTACAATGAATCTGAACAATCTGTACGTCAAGAAAATCACAAAACATTCCATGACTCCTTCATTTAGACACAGTATTAGACACACTTATTGCTGAATTTGTTTTAATAAGTGCTGATTTTATTTGTTATAGTTTGAATCAAGTTTATTAGGTTTGGTAATCATTTATTTCTAACAGCTATTAAAGTATTACTCACTCAATTAATCAGAAATATGGCAAAATCACTACAGCAGGAAAAACGAGTGGTCTGACATGTTCTTGCCTGACAACATGTTCAGTTTTTTCTGGAGTACACTTACAAAT